AGGTCGTCCTCCTCCTCTGCTTCCTTTCAATCCTCCGCCCAGGCCGATCGCCCCCTCTTTTGGCTGTTCCAGCCGCTCCACTGGCTCCCCCATTGGTTGCCCTTCCCTTGGCTGCCCTTCTGAGCCGGCTTCTGAAACTTGCGGGGCCGATCCTTGTCCAGCTGCGCGTCGCTTCCGGAGCTGCGTTCCCCACTCGGTTGCGTGAGGTGGCACGCGAAGAAATCCTGAACCTCCTGTTCGGCCGCCATCGTCGAGGGGAGCGTCAGGGCACCTGAGTGTGTGCATGAGGCAGGACTGAAAATACGCCGTACACAGCGGTGGATGAGAAGCTGAGCTTCGCGGCTTGAAGCCGCAGGCCTTACAGCTGCCACGGTAGCGCAGCTTGTAATGTGCTTTGAGCCGTCTCACCACGTCATCTCTTCGTGACCAAAATTCGGGATGCATCCGTCGAATGTGGTTCTTCAGACCGCCCTTTTCTTTGCTACTCCACTGTCCACAGAACGCGCAGTAGTTGCTAAGGTGGTCGCCGTGTTTCTCCGCATGCTGCACCCAGTCCTCATCTATGTTATTGTGGTGCTCCGTTTGCTCGTAGTGAGGCTGCATAGGAACAGGCGGGGTACTCTCAGGCTTAGGCTCAGGCAGGATGTGGTCCGAACATGTTCCAGCTACAGCTTTCGGAGATGTCAGGTCATCCAGTTCTTTCTCAGCGTCAAGAGCGGTACCCCCCGCAGCGGACTGCAAAGCAGGGGTACCGTGGAGCACAGGACAGGTGCTGAGGATATGACCTCTAAAGCCGCGCCATTGCCTAAAAGTTGCATTGCAGTGGCGACACACTGGCATGCCATCCACACAGCGCGCAGTAAACATGGTGGTTTTCCAAAGATGAGGATCTTTGGACCCGGGCGGAACAAGACTAATGCCATGCTTCCTAGCGCAATGTGCTCTCATGATGCGTTGGTCGGGAAAATACAACCCGCAGTGTGGACATGGCACGCCCTCACATGTAACCGGCGTGAGTGTGGAGCGCTCAAGGGCTCTAGCCTCCTCGAGGCGTGCCAGCACTTTGTGCTGCCACGTGCTTTCGGCCGTGAGTCCCGGGATGGACTCCTCTGACAGGGTTTGTAGTGTCCTAAGCCTATTCAAAATTTGGGCCTGTAAAGCATCAATAACCGAAGTACACTCAAGCCTATGGTAGAGCTCCGCATTAGCCTCGTGCGTAATGAATGTGTCGGGGCGATTTGGCAATTGCTCGAATGTGCTTGATCTCGAAACGCTGTAGGGCCTGGTGTCCTTTGTCCGGCAAGCCGACCGAGGCTAGGCCGTAAAGGGCCGCGCTGCGCACACAGACTCTATAAAGCGAGACTCGGTGCCGCAAACTGAGTCCGCGTCTCGCAAAAAGGTGCTTGGAAAGACGCGCCAGGTTTGCCCTTGCAGCCTGAAGTCTCCTGTTTAGACTCTGCTCTTCAAAGTTGTCGTAGCTCATGACAACCCCTAGGTAGTCAATTTGATCGTCAACCCGAAGTAGAAGAGGCTGGAAGGGTTTGCCCAGATTCAAGTAGTGCTCTTGGCCTTTGACGCTATACCTCTTATCAAACCACCTCCTCAACGGACCTCCATCAATTTTGTAAACAAGCTTGGATTTGTCCGCATTGACCTGCATTCCAGCCTCTTGGAGCACCTCAAAAAGGCATTGTATGCGCTGGGCCATGACGGTGGCATCAGCAACGGTATACAGGTTATGAGCACAAATAAAGTCGTCGGCGAAAGCCGTGACGTCTTGGCGAACCCAATCAAGACAGGTTTTACCCTCCAAACGGTGCAACATGAACGTAGTGACGCACACCCATAGCAAAGGTGATAAGACACACCCTTGTCGGATGCCATTTCTCAAATCGATGGAGCCACAATTTGCCTGATGTTCTATGTGGTACTGCGCATCGTGGATGGCCAGGATAAGGGCGATGGTGTCTCCATCAACATCCAGGAACTGAAGTGCGCTAACCAGGTAGCTACGACTAACCTTGTCAAAGGC